TTGTATGTCTTTTCACAGAATTGTAAACAAAAACCGAAAAACTGCTTCACCTAGGGTGCCTTCCATGTGTGGTACAAACACTTGTCATTCACAGGAACAGAGATGTAAATGATGAATCCAGTAAACACTATTTTTGTAAAGTGAGTCACTAACGCAGCTCGTTGTGCTTTGTTCCCACCACCACCAGGTTTAGGCTGCTGTGCTCTCTGCCTTCCCTCCCTGTGTGCACTGAATGTGACCCCTGGGCAGTCACAGGTTGTGTCTCCTGTGCCCCGAGCTCATTCCTGGTGCTCCACATTCCCGTCCTCGGGCCTTGTGCAGGGATGCTCAGTGGGGGTGTCTGGACCCTCAGGGCTGACTCTTCCTCTTTTGGACAGACTCTGCAGCCCAGTCCAAACATTCCAGTTCTAGCTCATAATTCGTGATTTCCAGCATCTGAGGAGGGAGCATCCAGGCCTGACCAAAAGACTTTATTCCTCTGGGTTACAGGTGCTGTATTGACAGCTCAGAGGTATTATGGAAACACCAGGTTAGAATTTCATTCAGGCTGAGCAAAGGGGATGCAATTTTCCTTTTATCATGAGCACAAGTCTGCTGTGCAGTGCCCTTGGTTCTTTGCTTTTGGAGTAAAACCTGCAATGTCCTGTTCTGGAGAGCCCTTGGTGCCTCCTCTGTGTGGTGTGAGGGCAGCACCCAGCTCTTGTCCTGCCCTGGCAGTGCCCCCTCTCCCCAGGGGCTGCAGGCCAGGGCTCCCCTGAGCCAGATCCTGCTGCAGGACTGGAAACTTTCAGCAGGCAGCACATTCCCCTGGAGACAATTCACAGCCCTGGAGGATTTCCCACTGTTCTGCAGAGCCTGGAGCTGCAGCAGCTGCTCCAAGGTGGTGCCTCCAGCTGGGAACGCCTTCCTGCTGTGCCCACAGCTGGAATTCTGCTGGCAGCTGCCAGCTCTGGGTGGGAGAGGTGTCCTGGGAATGCTTGACCAAGCTCAAAGGCAAGGTACTCTACAAGAAAACACAACCTCCAGCTTGTTTCTACACCAGTAACCATCTTTCAGTTGTGTTCTTTCTGTTGGTGTCTGTGCTAATCAAAAAACACAAGCTGAAGAACTGTAAAGTCTCTTGCAATACACAAAGCAGTCTTGGTTTTAAAATCCATGCTGTTGCAGCATAATTTAAATGGTGTATTTATCAGTTTTAAATGTCATTTTGCTTTTCCAGTCTTTTGTATATGGGCACAACACTTTGTAATTTTTTAAAATTTTGTTGTCTTTCTGTCTTTTCTTTCTGGTATTGGAGGATTTGAGCTCTCTGGGTTTTCACAGTACTCTTCTGATCATTCTTCATAGTGGTAAAAGTCTGTATTTTTGTATGTAGGAGAAATGGTAGTTTTCTAACACTTAGCCCAATCAATATAGTATGGAATCATTTGTGAAGGACTTCCTGTTTAATAAATGGACATATTAAAGTACTAAAACAGTGTCTTCATCTGTAAATGTGGGCTGGGGTAATTTTCTTCCCAGTGGTTGGTGTTGGTGTGGTTTCTTCCTGGCTGGTGGGGGACTGTTTTGGATGTGTGTTGACAATTCTGAGATGTTTTTGTTATTGCTGAGCTCACACAGAGCCAAGGCCTTTCCTTCCCCTTGTGCTGCCACTTTGGGAAGGGGCTGGGGGTGTCTGGGAGCTTGAGAGGAGACACAGCCAGGACAGGTGACCCCAAATGACCACAGGGGTATCCCACACCTTAGGGCATCAGTATGTGAAGGGGGGAAGGAGGAGGAAGGGGTTTGGAGTGATGGTGTTTGTCTTCCCAAGTCACAGTTCCAGGAGATGTGGCCCTGCTCTCCTGGAGATGCTGAACCCCTGCCTGCCATGGGAATTAATTCCTTGTTTTGCTTTGCTTGTGTGCACAGCTTTTGCTTTCCCTATTCAATTGTCTTTATGTCAACCCAGGAGTTTTCTCACTCTTCCCCTCCCCCATTCTCTGCTTTGTCTCACTGAGAGAGCAAATCCTGTGTGGGGCTGGGGCTGCTGGGGTGGAACCACCCCTGGAGGCAGCAGAACCCCTCAGTGAGCACTGGGGGTTCCTGGGTTCTTAACCAAAATGCTCTTGGTGTGTGGGGACCCCACCAGGGCAGCCTTGGCTGGGGCTGTCCCTGGGACACTCCTGGGTGCAGGAGTCAAAGGGAAACCTCGTGAGAGGGCAGTGGAGCAGAGAGAGCGTGGAACTGCTCTTGGAGTGTTTCTGGTGTGCTGCCATGGGCTGCAGTGCTCCATCCTGGGGCCTGCAGCTGCCAGTTTGAGACTGGAAAGGGATTTTGGGGCTGAAATGCCCCAGGGAGTGGGGTAACACTCTGCTGCCTCACAGGCTGGGCGTTGCAAGTGATGCTGGTGAGATTTTTTGGTTTCCAGGTGCTTGAGACAAGAGGTGGAAGCACTGAGTGAATCCGGGTGAGAAGTGTGGGAAGGCAGGAGGGATGGGTGAGTTTGTGAAGAGATTTGGGAATGTGGATGCTGCACTCAGAACACTGGGCAGGGACCAGGGGCCAGAGGCTCTTACAAGGGGCCAGTTCCTTTTGCTTGTGTGGGGCTGTCAGCAGCACTGTGGCATCACCCAGGCTGGGATCCGTGGTGCTCCTGGGTCAGGAGAAGATTCATCAGCTGTCAAATTAAAATAAAATTAATTATTTTGTCTAACTTGTAAATACTGGATCTTCCTTCAGTCTCCTGGGAAGACTAATTAATTTATTCATGGATCAGGCTAACAAAATGTGATGGGCTGTATCCAAAATCCATAAAAGAACACGACAAGTATTTCCTGTAAAAAGACAAGTATTTAACGTTGGAATCGGCATTTTCCTCCTCACGGAAATGGATTTAAAAATTGACTTATTTTCAAAAAACAACCAAAGCCAACCAACCAACAAAACTCC